TCTCATGATGTTTTGGAACCTGATGTGGACGAGAGACTCAGCCTTGGAGGTGGCTTCCCCCTTTTTTGGGTTGAGGGTGGCAGGTTGCTATGAAGCCCATGGGCCCACACTAAATTTACACAGGACTTTGGGAAGTGGCTAGATCTTTCTCAGTTTTAGAAGATAGAATGCTCGTCAGTTTCAGGGAGTGCCTTTCATGCCTTTGAAAGGACTGTGGCAGCTGGGACAATAGACATATTGGTGATGACCATCGTGAACTGAATTTGGAGCACCCTGCCCCCATTCTCCTGGGAAGTAAACCCACCCAAGGGTTTATTATAATCTTCAAGAGAGAGAAGGAGAACGAGACCCTCCAAATTATGACAAGATTGGATTTGTTGCCAATCTTGGCATAAAGTTTTGTAGACAGGTTTAGTTTGATATAGGCAGTGTGACATTTCTTGTTCCAGAGAGTTGTGGACAAATTCACACCTGCTTTTATTGAACTGTATCTATTCATTTAATCTACATAAAGCTGGTAAGTGAAAATTACATTGTTTCGGAAGCCCCTTCTCCAAAAAAGAAAACAACAAAAACTTAAACTAGTTGCTGTCAAGTCATTTACAACTCATGGTAACCCCATGTGTTAAAAAGTAGAACCACTCAATTGGAACGACATGTTTTTAAATGCTTCTCCATGCCTTTATTTAATTTAAAGCACTCGACCATAGAGTTGGTTTGAACCGCAGGGTCGGTGGTTCAAATTCACCAGCTGCTCCTCGGAAATACTGTACAGGGTTGCTGTGAGTCAGAACTTCTGACTCAAAAGGCACTTAACAGCAACAACAATTTATTTTCTATAACCTTTTACTTGATAAAATCATGCTTCATTAAGGTGTGGCTCAAAAACAATTCTTGTTTTTTTCAGAAGTATTGTTGGCTGCCATTGAGTCTGTTCTGACTTACAGGAACCCTTTGTACAACAGAATGAATCAATCAGGGGGCACTGTACCATCCTCACGATTGTTGCTATGTGAGAACCCATTGTCGCAGACACCATGTTTATTCTTTTTGTTGAGGGTCTTCCTCTTTTTCCTTAGCCTTTTACTTTACCAAGCATAATGTCCAGGGACTGCTCCCTCCTAATATGTCTATAGTATGTGAGAGATAGTGCAGCTTAGACCTCTTCCATTAGTACCATGGGTTCTTGATCCTACACCACTTCCTGAAATGGTTGAACGTCAACCAATTCTTTTTGGTACAGTGACTCTGTTCATTCCTCCTGTGTTCATTTTTTTAAAAGTTTGACTTCAACAACTTTATTTTTGTCTCATCCATCAAGGGCACAGGGTACCTTCATGGGCTCCAACTTTTTACTGTCTCTCCTTACAGATTGTTCCATCACCCTTAGCTAAGCGATATGTGGGTACTACCGAGAATCAAAAAGCACCTTCAACTGCAGTTAAAACTCAAGTAATTAGTGTGAAACTGAGTTGCACTTTAGCAGGTTTCCGTAAAATTGGAGAGGCAGCAGACTGGGGGAGAAAGCTCAACAGTGCCACCTATTTGGGTTATTGGGTTGCATAGTAACAACTCAAACACCATCTTTAATATGTGTCCACTGTCTATACTTAGACATTACTAGACACTCCATTCTAGCATGTGGGACATCTCATCAGGAAGCAGTGTTAAAATGGTGAGATTTGATGCTTGTTCATCTCAGAGCCATTAAGATCTTCTAGTAAACTACTTTACACTGAGCCCCACCTGTCTGACACTCCATCCCATCCATATTTTAAAAGTATAAAAACGCCAAAGCAGCTCTACTCTAGTGTGCTTTCCTTTTAACAAGTTCTTCAAATTGTAAACAAGCAACTTATATTTAGGGCAAAAACTGTCTACAGCTACAAAATTTGAACATAACACATTTTCTGCATGCTGCTTTTTCCTGTGCCTGTCTTGCTGAAAATCATTCGAGGCCATCAATGGTCAAAAGTGGTTGCTTTGAAATGGCAAATTAGCTGAACAATGAATATGTCTTTGAACAAGAGTTCAAACAGCCTGCTGTATACATTTCTATTAACCTGCTGCAAAAACAGGTTCATTGAACAAGATCCTCAAAATAGTTCTAGAACTTTAAACTTGTGTCTCAGCTTATATGGTACCCTGAATGTGATGAAAATACTTGATTCCTCCTCCATGTTTTTTTATGTAGCCTCACCATTCAAGGTTAGTAAAGTAGAGAGCACAGAAGAGAAAGATCCTCAGTAAGATGGATTGCCTCATGGCTACAACAATGCATAGGAACAATTGTGAGGCTGGTGCAGAACCTGACAGTGTTTTTATTCTGTTCGATACAGGGTTGCTATGAATCAGAATCGACTCAGTGGCATCAAACTACAATAATAACATGTTGTTCAATATTTTGCCATAGGATTCTTCAATTTTTCAACTTGGGGCTTTGATTTTTGCTTCAGTTCTTTCAACTTGAGAACGGCCAAGCATGTTCTTCCATTTGGTTTTCTAATTCCAGGTCTTTGCACTTTTCATTATAATGCTTTCTCTTCTTGAGATATCCTTTGAAATTTTATGTTCAGCGCTTTTACATCATCATTCTCATATTCACTTTAGCTGTTCTGTATAAGAGAAATTTCAGAGTCTCTCTGACATCCATTTAGTGTTTTTTTTCTTCTTTTTAGTGACCTTTTGCTTTTTTCCTTGACATCATCCCATAATTCATTTGGTCCTAGCCATTAATGTTTTTGGTCATTAATAGGTCAAATCTATTCTTGAGATGGTATCTAAATTCAGGTGAGATATACTCAAGGTTGTAGTCTAACTCTTGTGGACTTCTTTAATTTTCTTCAGCTTCAACTTGAACTTGATATGTACAATTGATGGTTTGTTCTGTAGGTGGTTCTTGGTCTTGTTCTGGTAGATACTGAGAGTCTCCATTGCCTTGTCACTAGATGTATAGCAACCCCAAATCAAATCTACCGTCATCAAGTATGTTCTTACTCACAGTGACCTTGTAGGACAGAGTAGAAATCCCCTGAGAGATGGTATCCCAGGCTGTTCATCTTTACAGAAGCAGATTGCCACATCATTCTCCTGTGTGGGACTGTTGGTTTCAAACCACCGGCCTTTCTGTTTGCAGCTGAGCACTTAGCCACTGCACCACCAGGGCTCCTCTCCATATATGTTGTTGTTGTTGTTGTTATATACCGTGGAGTTGGTTTTGACTCTTAGTGACCCTTTACAGGGTTTCCGAGGCTGTAAATCTTTATGGGAGCAGAACGCCTCATCTTTCTTCCACGGAACCACTGGTAGTTTCGAACTGTCGACCTTGAGGTTAGCAGCCCGATTTGTAACCACTACGCTACCAGAGCTACTTCTCTAATATGTAGTTATCAATTACGTTGTTTAAAAAGTTTTGTTTTTTTTACAGTGAATATGTCATTGGTCTTAGAAAATTCTATCATACAATCCTTCTCTGTCACCAAGAACTTACTTTCCAATTACCATTCATACTGTTTCCAACTTCTGCAGTCCAGTCACCAGTAATTATCAGTGTATCTTCATTGCATGTTTGAACAGTTGCAGACTGTAGACAATGGTAAAAATATTTTTATTTTTTAATCTTTAGAGGTTGCTGTGTATATTTGAATAATAGTCTTATTAACTGGTCTTCCTTATAGGTGTATGGATATTATTCTATTACTGACAACTTTATATTTCAGGATAGATCTTGAAATGTTATTTTTGACAATGACTTGTATTCATGTCCTCCTCAATGTATCATTCCTGGCATGTGAAGGGGCTTCAAAAAGTTTTTGAAAAAATTGAGTTAAAAGTTAATGGAATTTTTCCATGAACTTTTTGAAGACCCCTTGTAGTAGATTATATGATTTGTCCATTCAAAAAGGCCAAGTCCATTTCACCTCACTGATGCCTAGGCTACTGATCTTCAAGTACTCTGTTTCATTTATGACAACTTCTACTTTTCCTTGATTCATTCTTTGTGCTATCCATGTTTTGATTATTGGTTGGTATTTGCAGCTGTTTCTTCTCATTTTGAGTCATGCTACAGTAGCAAATGAAGGTCCTAAAAGCTTTACTCTACCTATCTCATTAAGGTTGACTTTACCTTGAGGAGATACCTCTTCCCCTGCTATTTTTTAAGTGCTTTCCAACTTGAGGAGATCATCTTCTGGTACTGTATCAGAAATTGTTCTGCTATTATCCTAAGGTTCTCACTGGCCATTTTTTCCAGAATTAGATCCCCAGGTCTACCCATTCTGTCTTTAGAAGTTCTACTAAAAATTGTCCACCATGGGTGACCCTGTTAGTATTTGAAATACCAGTGAATTATGGTGATATAGCTTCCAGCATCACAGTAACACCCAAGCCACCTCAGTATCACAACCAGATTGACAAGTACCTATTCTTCTAGGCAGAATTAACTGTTGCCTTTCTTAGTAGTGTGCTCATAGTAATTTGTTCTAAGTTCTCAATATAAATATAATGCTTATCTTTAAGGAAAAGTTTAGGATATGGTCTATATTGTATGTCTTTTTGTAACCACGTTGTAAGCAGTGTAGTTGCATTAAATGTTCTTGGTCAGCATTGTTGTTGTTAAAGTATCTTGGGCAGCCTTAATGAGTATTAATGGTGGTTTCTTCATTGCTATCTAATCTACACATTTGAGAATTTCAGTTACTGTGGAGAAGTAGGTTAGAGGTAGTATAGTGTCAACAGTGGGACATGGAGTCTGGGACTCATCCTGAATCCACACTTCAGGTGTATACTATAGTAAGTGACTCTTAGGGAAATAATTTATCTTCTTAGAGCTAAAATTTTCTCATCTGTATAGTGAAAATAAAGATAATAGCTGCTTTGCCTTTTTAATAGAATGTGGTAAGAATCAAAATCATATATATGAGAGTTCTTTGAACACTCCAAAATATCTAAATGGTGGGAGCAGTTGAATTTTTTCTCATACATCTTCCCTATTCTTTTAGACCACGGCACAGTGTAGCAAGTTTAGAAAGCATTGTGAATGAAGCTAAGAACATTCCAGCCTTTCTACCCAATGTTTTATCCCTGAAAGAAGCCTTGCAAAAGGCTCGAGAATGGACAGCAAAAGTAGAAGCTATTCAGGTAAGGGAACGTTATCCTAATGTTCAGGTAATGTGTGTCACAGATGAATACTTTAATTATTTGACTAAAATAACTATAATAAAGCAATTGTAGTACTAAAAATTCACTAGTTCTTAAAATTCTTTTGAATTTTAGGATTCAAAATAAATAATTAGCTACTTAAACATTACTTGTGTCTGTTGACTGCCTGTTATGAAACATGAAGGAATCACCTAATTATTTAACTTTCAGCGTAAGGAATTTATTCTCTGTTGTATTCTTGCTGTCTTTTTCTATGTGCATAAATTAATTTTATAAAAAAAGACACAGAAAAAGCAAATGAAATGAACATGTATTAACACTTAGTAAATAAGATATGACTTCAGATCTCAAATAGCATATTTTCTAGTTGGAGAGACATATGTATATGTATCTAATTCAAAGTGAAGTAAGTACTAGATAGAGATAAATATGTGCTTGAATATGTAATATTTCTTCTGAACTCTAAAAGCCATAGAAAAGTAAGGAGACATCATCTAACTGTTCAGATAGTGCCCGTTTCACAGATTAACCTTTCTTTGGCCATTCAAGGAGACGGTTGACCATTTTGACCTTTTTTTTTTTTTTTTTTTTAATCTTTGCTGAGAAAGGTGGAAATCTGGGAAACTGAGGGCAGGCACAGTTCGATGTGGGGGAGAGGGAGCTAATTGGCATAAGGACGTTCTCTCTGGAGGGAGGCGGCTTCTCAGCATAGATAGATTACCGGCTTCGTGAGATGCTGGCAGCAGTCCAGGAGGCTTCCCATGACTATGGTGGAGCCGGTGATAGCACTGGCTCGTTGTGGTTCTTCCCACGGGTTTGCATGGTGAAGCTGAGGTCTGTGAAGCCCACAGGGTCTGCTCTACTCCATGTCCACCACGTGCATGTCTGAGAGCCTGAGATCTGTCACCAGCACACCAACCATGCAATTGAAGCCTAGACTGGGGGCAGCCAGGACAGCTGCCACCATGATGTTGGAGTTTCAGGCAGAGGCATGAAGTACATGCCTTGGACAGGGCCCTCATAGAGTATGATGCAGGGGCTGGTCCGGATCACTATGACCAGGGCCCGCCTCCAGACGGAAATCATCAGGATGTGTGGCCATGGTGGCACGGAGACTCTGGAAGTGACCACAGATGAATTCTTTAACCATTTAATTCATATATGTTACTATCTGTTTATGGGTTTTTTTTTATTGCAACCAACATGACAGAGTTGTAAAATAGCTCAAAGAGAATCTAAACATACACCCTTATTGTTGTTGTTAAGACCATGGAGTCAGTTCCGACTCACAGCGACCCTGCACAGGGTTTCCGAGGCTGTAAATCTTTACAGGAGCAGAAAGCCTCATCTTTCTCCTGCGGAACAGCTGGTAGTTTTGAACTGCTGACCTTGGGGTTAGCAGCCCAATTCGTAACCACTACGCTACCAGAGCACCTTCACCATACACCCTTAGAATCACATAATCTAGAGGGTTTGCTAGACAACATCCAATATTCTAAAATAAAAACCAGTAATCTGTGCTCATTTCACATTTTAGTTCTGATAACCATCTCAATATTGTTTTGGAAGCAGAAACGAGTCCTGGTGTGATGCTAATAAGATGCGCACTGAGCTGCTAACCACAAAGTCGGCAGTTCAAACTTATGTGGTATTAAAGGATTTCTAGTGTAGTGTTATAGCCGTTCCTCAGAAACCCTGTTCAGGGATCGCTATGAGTTGAAACTGAGTCTACGGCATATAACAATAACATTTAGTATTTAAAGGAGTTCTGGTGGCATAATGGTTAAGCTGTGTTGACCAAAAAGTCAGCAATTTCTTCTTGGGAGAAAATACCTGAAGATCGGTTTCCATAAAGGTTACAGCCTGGGAAGCCTTTTGAGGCAGTTCTTCTCTTGTCATACTGTGTTGGTGCAGAATTGACTCAATGGCACACAACAATGACAACTTGAAAGGGAGTTTCAAAAAATTCATGGAAAAATTAAGCTAAACGATAATGGAATTTTCCCACAAACTTTTGTGAAGCCCTTTTGTATAATACTGGACCGTTTTATCTATTTGAAAATTCATTTATTCATTCCTAACTTCATTTTTTTCCCTGAAGCTTTTATTGTGAATTGAGTGATAGTTTACATGGCAGAACATTGGTTTTCACTTAACTTACTGTATTGTGTTTCATTGCAATAATTACAGTCCCCTCCCTACACCATCTGTTTTTGCCTCTATTCCCTCTCCTTGTTTCTTTTTTTTGATGTACACAAAAATATGTTCGTTTAAACAGCCAAAGGGCACATTTTGCAAACCCACCTCCTGTCCACCAGCACACAGCCTTTCCCTTTCCATGAGTCTAGAGTTCTCAGCTGTTCTATCTTTCCACGCCAGCATCTCTGCTTCCTGCTTCTCTGGTTAGGAACCCACATTCTGTTCATGCTCTTCCCTCTTGGTGGTCCTTGGGTCTTCTGTTCCTGGAATGTAAGATGAACTACTCACTCCTTTTTGTTACACAACTTCTACCTTTACAGTTGTGACGATAGCAATTAGTCATGGTAACAATTACTATTGAATCAAAAATTCCTATCCCTATCTCCTTTCACCAGACCAATCTAGACAAGATGAAAACTATTCCATGGGATTCTACCTCCCTCCACCCTACTCCTCACTCTGAAACTAAACGCCCTCTTGAAAACTTGTATCCCTAACTGCATTTGTAAAAAGCCTTGGTAACTTAGTGGGTTAATGATTGGGATGCTAACCATAATGCTGGTGGTTCAGACCCATCACCACTGTAAGGGAGAAAAATGAGGCTGTCTGCTCTTGTAAAGCTCTGTAGTCTTGGAAACTCAGGTGCGATTCTATTCTGTTATATAGAGTCACTTTGAGTTGACATGGACTTGATGACAAAGTTTTGTTTTGTTTTGGTTTTTTGGCAGGGGAGAGGCGGTAACTGCATTTATACAGGGGACCTTCAAGAAGTTCATGGAAAATTCATCATCTTTTAATCTATTTTTTTCTATGAACTTTTGAAACACTTTTATATATGCCTAATCTTTGGATTCTCCTTTAAACTGATTTTTATATCTTTATGGCTTCTTCATTAATTAGTAAAATAAAATCTTTAATAGCATGTTCATTTAAAAACTTATACAAATTTTTTATAGGCATTAGAAGTTATATTAGTTCAAGAGCTGCAATTTAAGTTTAGATAATGATATTTAATAATAAAAAAAATGAACACTAAATTCTTTGTAAAAATTTCCAGCAACATATTGGAAGACTCCATAATTATGTGAAAGTGTACTTTTATTTTGAACTAAAAATGAACACTAAATTCTTTGTAAAAATTTCCAGCAACATATTGGAAGACTCCAAATTATATGAAAATGTACTTTCATCTTTCAGAGTGGCAGCAGCTATGCTTACTTGGAACAACTGGAGAGCTTATCTGCTAAAGGGCGCCCTATTCCTGTGCGTCTTGATACCCTGCCCCAAGTGGAGTCACAGGTAGCAGCAGCACGAGCGTGGAGAGAACGGACAGGACGGACCTTTCTGAAGAAGAATTCTAGCCATACATTGTTACAGGTAAGGAGTGACTTTATTCTGTGTACACATAATTCAAAAATCTCATCAACAGTTGGTAATTTAGTACCTCTAGATAACAAACTGCTGGTGAAGGTGATTTCCAGTTTATCTGATTGCAGGTTTACTAGTGCCTCCTCTTCGGTAGTAGCACCCATTGATTGAAATCTAGAGCCTTTAGCAAACTCATTTCTGGCTCATCTTATCCTGGTCTAGAAAAGGCAATCAGTCTGGATTTATTTCTGTTGTTACTGTACTTTGTCACTTGGAGGTCTTATTTTTTAGGCGCACAAGGCTGAATATCCCTCATTCTTTTTGTCTTGAGCAGTTGAACATAATAGTTAAGACTTTAGAATAAGGTAGTTTTAGTTTGAGGACTGGCTTCCTGTTTGCTGACCCTGTGCCCTTGGTAAGTTGTTTCTTTCTGATCCTCAGTTTCCCTTGTTTGTAACATGAGCATAGTAATGCCTACTTCATAGAGTTGTTATGAAGAATGAACTTAATGTGTGTCTAAAGTCCCTAGGAGAGTGCCTGGTACATGATGAATGCTCAGTAAATGCTGCGTTTTACTATTTTTACTTTGTTGTTGTTTAGTGCTGTTAAGTCAGTTCCAACTCACAGTGACCCTGTGTAGGGTTTCCAAGGAGTGACTGGTGAGTTTGAACTGCCGACCTTGTGGTTCAACTGCCCTTGCAATCCAGTGCTTTATCCCACAGCACCACACCATATTTATTTATTATTTTAACTTTTTATTGTGAATTGAGTGAAGGTAAACAGACAAGATCATGAGCCTTACTTTCAACCAATCATACGTTGTGTTTCATCTCAATGATTACACTCCCCTCCCTATAACAGCAGTTATCCTGCTTTTACCCTCTGGTTTCCCTTTTGTATCTTATTTTTTACAAACGAATAAAGCAAAAATATTTGATGTATATATACAAAACAAAAAATATATATTCATTTAAATGTCCAAAGGGCACATTTTTCAAACCAGCCTCCTGCCTGCAGGCACACAACCTTTCTTAGTCCCTGGGCCTGGAGTCCTGAGCTTCTCTGTCTTGCCATGCCATCGTCTCTGCTGTCGCTGCTTTTCTGGGTAGGATTTCATGCTCTGCTTTCTTGATGGTCATAGGATCTTCTGTCCCTGAAATAAAGATGAACTCTTCCCCCTTTAAGTACACAATCTTGTACAATTACAGTTTGTCACAATCACGATTAATCCTAATAACAGTTACTCACAATTGAGTCATAAAAACATATCACTATCCTTCCCCATCCCCTTCACCAGATCCATCTGGAAAAGAGGAAAACTATTCAATGGGAATTCTACCTTCTTCCCCTTGTTCTGAAACAAAGCACACTCATGAAAGCCTGTAAGCCAGACACTTCATGCCTTCACAGCTTTCTGTTTTTATAGCCAATGTCTAAGTTGCCCATCCCTATCAGCCCAGTTCACGAAGGAAAGAAAAAAGAAGCTGGTTCCCTGGTATAAAGAATACTTCCATTTTGGTTGGAATTTTAAGCAAATACATCCATCAGCAAAGTTCATCCAGTTCATCAAATTGTAGCAATTTATGCTTGCTCCCAGTATTAACTATTTTTTAAACGAGACTTCATTGTTTTGGTTTTATCTTTATTATAGGTGTTAAGTCCTCGGACTGACATTGGTATATATGGAAGCGGTAAAAACAGAAGGAAAAAGGTAAAAGAACTAATAGAAAAAGAAAAGGATCTGGACCTTGAACCTTTGAGTGATCTGGAGGAAGGACTGGAGGAAACTCGAGATACTACTGTGGTGGTAAGGAGTTATGTAATAATAGATCTTGAACTTGCTTGCTGAATACAAATTCTGTGAGGCTATTAGCAGATGAACTCTTTTTACGTTGATCATTTTATTCATTCTTTTCATCCTCAAAGCTAGCCTAATTTGTATTCCAGATCTGTTTCCTTTGCCATATACTCTGATACCTTAATCCCACAATTTCCCCCTTCACGTTCAAGCATCATCAAATATTGTCTCCCCACAGGTACCTTCTAGCATGATTTGGACTTTGTTGTATTTGAAACCAGATAAAGAAACAATAATATCAAAGATCACATTCTCTGTACTTTTCCTTTCTAATTCTTTCCTGTGACCTATGGGTGATTTTGAGAGCTCTGTCCCTGACTTGTTCTTACGGTCAACTCTTTTTCAGAACTCATCCACTTGACCCTCACAATTTATATCTCTAACTCTGGCTTCTCACCTTTTCATCAGTATTATATATCTAATGACATTAAGAATATTTCCCCTAGGACATCAGTTTCTGTATGTCAAAATTTGAAACAAATCACATATTTGTTATCTCTTTTCCTTTTAAACTCCTGTACCCTGTTCTCTGACTTCACAACAATTTCCTTTCTGACAGTTCTTTTTTAAGAAGGTAATGTTAGTCCTTTCCTCTCTATCATCAAGTTTAACCAAATGCACTTAAAGAAAATATGATTTCAAGGAACCAGCATGGGTTTTGTTTGGGCCATTAAGTGGGATGACTACAGGAGACATAATGTGTGGATTTTAATAAGCTATGTCATATCCTGGTATTTGAGATGATTAATTATCAGCTAGATGATATTATAGATGAAGTCATTACTTGAAAATCAAAACAAAAATGTACTAATTAATTGATCACATCAAAGTAAAAGAAAATCTAGGATAACATGTAACTGTTTTGCCTCTTAACATTGTGAGAAAATCCAGGAGGGAAAAAGCAATACCTATGCACCTTTATCGAACTATTTTTATTTTTGCTACTTTGGCTTTGGCTTTATGGTCATACATATTTTTTATATTTAGAAAATGTGTTTGTCATCCAGTTAAGTAAAAATTATACAGTTTTACTTTATTTTCCATATCTGTTTTTTTTGTTTTACTGTTTGTTTAATAACCCACTAAAATACCCAGCGACATTGGGTCGATTCTGACTTGTAATGAACCTGTTTAGGATTTCCAAAGCTATAAATCTTTATGGAAGCAGCAAACCTTGTCTTTCTCCCAGGGAGCTGCTGATGGATTTGAACTGCTGACTTTGTGGTTAGCAGCCCAGCACTTATCTTCCAGCACCACCATAGCACCTTGTTTAATATTCCATCAAATTATCTATAAGTTTCTGAACAATCCTACTGTTGAACATTTTGGTGGTTACTAAGTACTCCCTATTATAATTAAAAATGAAGTGAACTTCTTTGTGTAAGCTTCTTATGAATTATTATCTTAAACTTGTCTCTTAGGAGTGGTAGAATCTAGTAGCATTTTGTTACTGTTAATTACTTTGCTTTTTAAAGGAAAGGTATCATTTTAATTGCACTTGTGTTTTAGCACTTAGTAATATAAGTATTCAATAAAATATTGGAAGCTGGTGAGAATTATTGAAAGGCAGATCTTTTTTATTTTTTTAAGGAAGGAGGAATGTGTTAGGATTTCTCAGAGCCTGAGTAAGTAGAAAGAAATTAAAATGTGTTTGGGCAATATATAATAGTAGGAAATTACAGAGACTAGGTAACCTGATATATAGGCCTTCCGCCTACAAATGATCTGTTTTGAAGCCAGTGAAAATCATCTCTCATTAGATAGTTTGCCTATCAAGCCAGTCTTTTTGGACAAATAGGACCAAAAATTATTTCAAACTTGTTTCAAAGCTACTGGCAATTAAAATCATAATGTATGGAGAGTATTTAATTAAATTTCATTTGCTTTTATTTACTTTGTTGAAATTAGTTGCATAAAAACTGTTGTTATAATTGAGCATCAGGTTTTATTATTTTACCTCCACAAGAATTTGGAGAGACCTTCTAGAAAGAAATAATAATTGATTTGTATGAATTACAAGGGTGGGTATGAAAAATGAATGAGAGAATGACGTGCAAGGGTGGGTATGAGAAATATATGTTTATTTATTTTAAACTTTTTGTGATTCGAGTGAAGATCATTAGTTTTGCATTCAACAGATTGCATACACTTCATATCATCTCAATGATTACAGTTCCATCAGTGTGACGTCACCTATCTCACTTCCTTCCTGTGGTTCCTGTCTCCATGCCTCTTCCTTTTCCAATTCTTCTGAACTGTGTCCTTGGGTAAATGCTGTGATCTCAAATAGTTGGCCATTCTTTGGTATGTGTACCTCACCAGTATTGTTGTCCCCTATCTATTTCTATTGCTTGGCTGAAAATTGAGCCATAGGGTTGAGTTTAGTTACAGACCTGAAAGATGATCAGTGGCCATAGTCTCAAGCTGTTGTTTCTGGCTGACCAGTAAGTCTGGCTTCTTTTTTTTTTTTTAAATTTTTGTTCCACCTTTTCTCCCACTTTATCTAGAACCTTCTAATGTGATATCTTTCAGACCAATTGGTAGTGGTAGCTGGGTACTGTCTAGTTCTTCTGGTTGCAGGGTCACATGGACTGATGAAACTAATATTTTTGAGTGTGTATTGTGCAAAGGAGCCCTGATGGTATAGTGGATTACCACAAGGACTGGTAATCGAGAGGTCAGCAGTTCAAATCTATCAGCCACTCAGGAGAAAACAGAGGCTTTCTCCTCTCATAAAGATTTACAGTCTCAGAAACGCTAAATGAGTTGGAATCGACTACCTGGCAGTGGGTTTGATTCTTTGGGATACATTGTACATGTCGACATGCCAAGTTAAACACTTTCATGTGTTATTTTACTTAATCCTTAAAACAACAAAATGAGATTATTACCCTCATTTTTCAGAAAACGAAGATTCAAAGAGTTTGTGTTGTGCCCCGGATCAGTAAAAGAGCAAGGCTTGCTTCATGGCCAACTTGCTTGATGACTTCAAAGCATACTTTCATTCTACTATACCCCCAGAATTTAAAAAATACTATACTGATCTAAATGATCAAGTATAGTATCATTTCGCCCATTTCACAGGAGGACTGTTTCCTTAGAAATTGTTAGGCTGAAGTTGTTGACAGAGCTGATACTTTTTAAAAGCAATATTTTTGTTACCACGAGGCCACAATTTAGGGAAGAACCCATAGCCTTAAAGACTTGGTATTTTGGGTGTATATTGAAATGACTTCTTTTAATTAAGAACTTATTGTTTACAGGTGGCAGTTTTCAGAGAAAGGGAGCAAAAGGAGATTGAAGCCATGCATTCCCTCAGAGCAGCCAACTTAGCCAAGATGACAATGGTGGACCACATAGAAGAAGTGAAATTTTGTATATGCCGCAAGACAGCCAGTGGGTTTATGCTACAGTGTGAGCTCTGCAAAGACTGGTTCCATAACAGCTGTGTTCCCCTTCCTAAATCAAGTTCTCAGAAAAAGGGATCCAGCTGGCAAGCTAAAGAAGTAAAATTCCTTTGCCCACTTTGTATGCGGTCTCGTAGACCCAGGCTAGAGACTATTTTGTCACTCCTGGTATCCCTTCAGAAGTTGCCTGTACGGTTGCCTGAAGGAGAGGCCCTACAGTGTTTGACAGAACGGGCTATGAGTTGGCAAGATAGAGCACGACAAGCCCTGGCTACAGATGAATTGTCCTCTGCCCTGGCCAAGCTGTCTGTGTTGAGCCAACGTATGGTGGAACAGGCAGCTCGAGAAAAAACTGAAAAGATCATTAGTGCAGAGCTCCAAAAAGCAGCTGCCAATCCTGACTTACAGGCAAGTGTTGGACTTACATTCTTTTTCTATTTCCTCATATAATATTTGTCAAGTGTCAGTGTTTGAACTGCAAGGTTGGCGGTTCAAGCTCGCCAGCCAGTCCTCAGAAACCCTATCTAGGGTCGCTATGGGTCAGAACCAACCTGATGGCACTTAACAACAACAATGATCAATTAAATATTTCTTACCAGTTGATTAGGAAGACAAAGTAACTTGCTAGCAATTATGTTATCTCTAACATCTTTTTCTGCATACATCCAAAGCATTTTCTTTGGATGTATACCTAGGTCATTTTAGTGAAATATTACTTGGAGATACCATTCTAGTGGACCTTGACATCATTATCAAATAGTGGGATATCTACTAACTGCTGAAGAATTCTATTAGCAGTTTTGCAAGTTCTTATATATTGGTGGTGTTAAGCACATTTTGGAGTCTTACTGTGGCACTGTAGGTTAATGCACTGGACTGCAAGTTCAGTTTGAACCATAAGGACGATGGTTCAAGCTCACCAGCCACTCCTCAGAAATCCTATACAGGGTTGCTATGGATTGGAACTGATTCATTGGCACTTCACAACAACAAGAAGCATATATTGTTTACCTGTGTTTGTTTCATTATGTCTCTGTTCATCTTGGAATTGTTTGTTGTTTAGGGACACTTACCTAGTTTCCAGCAGTCTGCTTTTAACCGGGTGGTAAGCAGCAGTGTATCATCTTCCCCTCGACAAACAGTTGACTATGATGATGAAGAAACAGATTCTGATGAAGACATTCGGGAAACATATGGCTATGACATGAAGGTAAATTACATGTTGAAGTTAGAACAGATTATTTGGTATCAATGATTCTTTTGATAATACCACAGTGATGGTGAAGAGAAGGTTTTGGCAAGGTTGTTATGTTTGGATCCTATTTACCCTTTCATTGTCATTTCATGCCAGTTATAAGTCAAGAGCAAAAACTTTGTCTTTTTGCCTTGTAATAGCGTCATGATCTAGGCAGATGTCCTCGCAGTTCTCAGTTGCTCTATTTAGAAATCTGTCTGTTATCAGGGAGTTTTTAGTGTGGTATTAGAGACTTCCTCCAAAGAACTATGCAGATTTTCCCCCTACACTGCTTAATTATCTTTTCTTAGTCTTTTCAGTGGACAAATCAGGTACATACTCCCATCAGCATTAAAACTCGTAGGATGTTAAATTAAAGCCATCAGTCATAGACACTTAGAAATTTATTTCTAGAAAAATATTTTTCTCAGGATCTGGATTGTTAATTCCAAGGGGTTTTTTTTTTGGTTCCAACCCTGCAAAGTATTGCCACCG